TTATAATATTATTTAATTAATTTAATTAAAAAATAGTGCAATTATAAGTTGTTTCTTATATAAACAAAAACTCTACTCTTAAGACACTATACTCTCGTAAATGACAACAATTTGGGCTTATATATCGTAGTTGCCTTATTGATACTATCATTTTGCTATATCTGATATTAATGTGTTTTATAATTATAGTTTTTATAATTTGATGTTTATATTTTTTTACATAATTAAATATATTTTAAATTATGTTAAAAAACTTATTATTCTAATTGAACTACATCAATTCGATCCAAGGGCTTATTCGGTATGGTGATTAAAATTTAACAAATAGCATTAACAAGTAGCAGGTGATAATTAGTAGATAACAGATGATAGATGACAAATGACAAAAAGTAAGTAGTAAATAGTAAATAGTAGATTTAATTGATGTAATTGTTTGGTTATACAGTAATTAGCAATTGTTATCTAACGTTAAATGACTAATAAAAATATAGTTAAAAACAATTAAGTGTATTGTTTTCTTTGTTTTCTTTGTTTATTTTTTATTATTAAAATTATTAATATTATAAAAGTAATAATAAGAAAATAAATAAAATAAAATAAATTATAATAACATAGTCAAACACTCATTTTATTTTTAACAAATAAAAAATTATATTATTTTTAAATAAAAAATTATAATTATTTTGTCTAATTAATCAATTTTTTTATTAAGTTATTTTTTTTAATAAATTAATATAAAAAATAAAAATATAACAAACACTTAACGTTATTATAGACAAAAATACCAAAGTTGAAACTAATTAGATAAATACTAATTAAAAATCATGACTAAAAATTAAAAATTAAAAAAGTTAAAATTGCCAATAAAATTAAAAAATTTCAATTTGCTAGTAATACAAAAAATTATCTAAACTAACTTTTTTAATCCACTAACGGTTTAAATTTTAACTGTTATCTGTTAGTTTTAAATTACTAAATAATTTTTTTTACTAAACACTTTCTTTGTAATAGTTTTAAAATATATAAATTTATCAAACATTTATTTTTAATAGTTTAAATAAAATCACTAACTATTACTCTCAAACCACTATACCAAAAAAGCTTTTAAATTGGATTAATTTGATTATAATATAATAGTAGATTAAATTCATTTAAAAATTTTACTAATTAATTTAATTGGTTTAGTTTTAAAAATGTAATATCAGATCCAATTTACACTGCAAACACTCCTATTGCTGATAA